TTCCCGAAAAAGAACCACTTAGTTTGTTAAGGTTTTCGAGATCAAGAAGTAGTTTGATAAGTAAACCACTGACATAGAATCAGCGATCCGATGACCGGACTCTTTTAAGGGATGCAGTTCTGAGTGATTTTACTAGTTAAACTGTTCATCTTTATATGGTGTGGAAATAACCCGCTTACCAGTAAAAGTAACAGTTTATTTAAATAGCATCGAGGCAAACATATGGTTACCAACTACTGTTCTTGTTTAAACGTAACCAAACTCTTCATCGGAAAATAGAACTGAATGCCGCTCGCACTGCTAATAATATCACTCGATGCACTTGTGCGAATTGGTAGTTAGTAAGAGATTTATACGGTCCCATCAGACTATCCAAAGTCCCTAGGTCAGCGTTTGCTAGCAACAGCAGAAGCAACCACTATCAGGCTGGGGAAGTGGGTATTGTGCGCGCAAAAGAACCTCCTGCAAGCTCCGAGCTTGGCATAGCCAAAGATCACATAACTGCCTGTATTTTTTCGTGCTTTCTCTCACTTTCCTCCTCCTCGGGATCCGGCTTCAACAAACGCTCACTGTCACGTAACCAGCCGCCTATTGTCAATCTCCAATCCCCCTCATCCATTCCCATAACTAATTTACATGTAATGATAAACGTACTTGCTCGCATCTTTACCCTTTTCCCCCATACCATATAAATGTAATGGCCCGATGAGAATGTATCGAAAGCCTAGGTATACTTGCCAACTACTATTCTGAATTCTCTGATGGTAATATTTGCAGCTCTATTCTTCTTATTTAAACGAAAAACAGCCACTTTTGGGATTTTGAAGTCTCGAATTTGCGGATTAATTAAACCTCCGTGGTCGCTTTTTCATTCTGCTGACGCTCGTTATTCTGAATTAGTTACATACATTTTAATGATTCAGTCCAGTGTGTTACCGGCAAACGTTATACTTATACTTAGCGAGTAACATACTTTTTTCCTCCTTGAGAAAAATAAACTGGAAGTGTCCAGTCCCCTCGCCTGAAGAAACAGCCAGGGTTGGTGAATCCTGGAACAGATCGGAGTACACCTACTTACTAATTCAGTCCAATTTTTGTGTCCACGCACTACGCTAATAATATGCAAACAAACGATAACTTGCTTGTACACAATAATGTTTTCTGTTGGTTGCACATGAAATATAATTTGTTTTTACACCCTGGACGAATTACTTAATTACACCTGGCATTTTGCTTTTACAGAAGAGGCCAAAGTGTGGCAGGAGATCTACACGAAACTGTCGAGTCTTCCATACACAATCGACACCGTTTGCATGCCTCTTGTCAAACTGATCAACAACAACCAGTTCTATTCAACAGTTGACAAGAAGGAACAACTCACCCGTCATCAGGCCCAGGGCGGCACTGTGCCGTTTTCAGTGAGTTAACTTTTCAAACATTTCCTTTTTCTAGGCCTTTTTTTCCCGGATACGCATTTAAAGCAAGCAAAGGCAGCAGGATTTAGTGGATGCAATAGATTTTGCGACGACTAGCCAACTTCAACCCGCCTTTGCATGACATAGATAACGACTGGAAGCACGCAGCATTTTGAATTTTCACGGAATATCACTGCGTAACAGCAGTAGTCAAAGGTCCCTGCAAATAATGATTAAGTATAAGTCGCTACGTTAAACCACCATTCGGGAAGGGGAACAGTAGGAGGGAGGAATTTGACACAAATCAAAGTCGTAATTAAATCTAAGCACCAGATTATCCGAGCAATTGCAGATTAGCCGTATGGTCTAGCTGCCGACAGAAGTCAGTTTTTTCCTGCCGTATGCAGGCTGCTTCCAAGAAGCGCCGGTTCCTACTTTTTCGTGCCCGAACAAGTATTCGGAACGCCCTTTTTTGGGTTGACAAAGTGACAAATGTCTAGCAGATGTTTAATACTCGAGGACGGAATGTCTCGATTTTTTCCTTGAAAAGTCGATTAAGCAAATGCTCAGCAGCCCTGGTTGCCAGATGCCTTCTAATCGGATGCCTTTGTATTTCTCTCTTATTACGAATCTTACTGAAATCATGTTGTTTTGCTGTTACGAAACAGCCTTGCTTGCAATATTGATAGACTGAAACCACAGTCCCTACGGCTCATCCACAGTCCTTTCAATCAGTAATTAATCGATCAGCATGTTATTTGCTGACGCTAGTGGCTTTCGAGGTGCCGATAATTAAGTATATTGATGCAGTTGTGAGCAAATTATGAATTCCTTCATAAGGACACAGACTTCTGCAAACCTAAACCACTCTTTTCGCGCCCATTTTGTTCTACTAGTTACCCATACCATAACAGAAAATGGAACCAGCCTTCTAAACGTTCCACGTACATCCTGGTATTCAACAACCCACGCTTCCGGTTTTGACACAAGCAGGGTTTCGAATGTCACATAAGAGCAGCGTTAACCAGGAGGTTTTGCAGCCTGATCATAAGGAACAAAGCATCCTGTCATTTGGCCATCTACTGATCAATGGTAACAAGCATGTTGCTTCCTTTTTCATATGGCGAAAACAGAAAACAGCATTCGGGCTCGACTGATGCCTCAGTGTTAAGTCATCGTGGACAGCAGGATCTATCACTGTCCAAAGAAGTGGACCCAACGTTGACATTTCTGCGCATTTGTTTATATTTAGGAAGGCTTGCGTGGCATTTGCCTAATTCTCGTCTCCCACATCCATCAGCTTCCGTTGGTATGAGGCAAACAAGGCAACCATTAGATGCTCCTGAACGCAGTGGCGAAGCAATTAGGCCTCATTCTCGCGGAACCGCTAGTGCGGTAGTCCAAAGCCGTCAAAATGTTGCGGATGAGATTAGACGTGGCGGTTGACAGGATTTGAGGGCCACCGTCTGTAATGTTCCCCCTGCACAAACGGTATTATTAGATGACTCCCACAGATTCGACGTAGCTCGAGGAATGCCTGTCATTAGGCCGCGTGACCACCCCCATTTTGGTTCAACGCACCTGCAACGCAACCCCCTTTGGAGGTTAAGCCGAGCTCCTCATTGAAACACACATGTGCGCATACCCACTGGGCACATGGTCCATAATTGAGGTGTCTGGAATGGGGAAGCAGCAGCATAAAATCAACCGGCCAGCAGTACCATCCTATGAAGTATTCTCTACAGGGGAATGACAATTATTCAACCCTAAAAGAAAGAACTCCTATTGATTTAATTGGCTGCTGTAGGCGACCAAGATCCAGTTTCAGGTAATGGAATAAGCAGAAGTCACCACCTAAGAGGATGCAAACTGCCAAGGTGAAACCAACTAACATGAAGTGGTTTAAAGTTGCAAAAATTCCCCTTTGATAATTCAGAACAACATTTGGCGAGTGTACACATTCGGTAAATTCTCGTCAGGTTTTACATTTACATGGGAGGTTTAAATTTAAACAATCGATAGATCGTCTCTTCCTACAAGCGGGAGCCAATCAGAGCGCGGAAATATGCAGGCAGTTATGTAACCGTTGGCCATGCCAACTACGGGGCTTACAGGAAGTTCTTTTGCGCGCACAAATGCAAACCTCCCACGTAAATGTAAGGCCTGACGAGAATTTACGAAAGTGTATACTCACCAAATGTTGTTCTGAATTAACACAAAGTGATAAAGGCCATATATAACACCAACTTTGTTTTGGACCTGTTAATTTCTCTCTATACCAGCCTTTTCAAATGCGGGTGCAAGTTGTAGTCAACGCTTCTCCTATTTTGTCCTGTTAGGCCTCATCTTCGGGCTCGCATGCAGTGTTTGTGGACATTTATGTACCTTCTGCCGCGTACATTGGCGTTCAGCATTACTGAAAAACGTAGAAGAATAGAATGAAACCAGCTGCTGCATTTCTTGCCATCACTATTTTACCTCCCGATGGCGCAATTTCCTTTTTCAGCCTATTGGTTAGCCGCCTTTTCGTGAACATGAAAGCAGCTATTGAACCTTTTATGTTTTCCTACTCCAAACAAACTGGCATGTTCACATTACTCTTTCTCATACCTTTAACAAGTCTTCGTAAAGGAGTGGGACTTTATTTATTTACTGATATGTGTACCTGCATCCCTTGGAGCAAAATTCTCTAGATATAAGTTTCAATAGATTACCGCCAATTCGTTTTTAGGACAGACGACATTTAGGTAAAAAGGGCGTCATGTATGGTCATAAATCTTTCAAGTTATTCAAGAAGTAACACTGTGTTTGCGAACATATTTATACATGATAGTCCGGCCCGTGTATGCGCGAACGGCCACGTTCAAAGACCACTACATATTGAAACATTCCTCGTGAAATATTGTATTATTGGCTGAAGTTAAAGCACTATCCATCTCCTGCATTGCGGTACCCAATCGGGTTTGGTTGATTGTATCTGCATTTTATCTTTAGAATTTCGTTTGTCGCTTTCAAATCGATTTGGCTGTTGATAGTAACCTCATTTGAGTCCATTTCCTACATATAATTCCTATCTTCCACTACTGTGGCCTCCTGTGCAGGCCAATGCGTGATCTGTGTTTAGGTGGCGCAGATCCTCTCGGTATATATGGGCTCTTATACTTGTCCTTCGTTCATATCAGTGGCAGCAAAGTCCCTGACCTTGTCCCACTATCTATATGTACAGAGTTTTTTCTCATGACTACCGTCACCATATCGTAATGGAGAAACTTAATTAACGCACTATACCGTTCCAACTTGCTGGTGGACATGTTAAACTTATATATTACGCAAATCGCAGGATGGCTAACACCGTATCTGGAAGTAATCCCGATAATAGAGTGTGTTCCGGGAGCACTACTTCCTACGTAGTTCTGGATTTGATTTTAAAACTGGATAGACTGGACCACATGTATTCAATGAACTTAACAGTCTTTCAGGATAACAAGGGCTTCGTAAAAAAGTATGAGCTCACTATGTTTGATCAGTTTTATCGGTCTTAAACTATTTGCCATCCGATTTATGGTCTGCCTAGTGGGGTGTTCACAGTGGAATTCGTTGCTGTCACTGTCTTAATTACTCCCGACTCAGCACCGTTTTATTTTTACGTGAGCTAAACAACCGTAGGCCTCAAATAAAAAAGGATAAGGCCACCTTTGACCTTTTCTGGATCGTTCATTGTCTTTTGTAGCGTAAAACTGATGCTTTAGTGGTTTTATCTGCCTACTGTATCTGGGTGTTCTTTTTCTCACACAGACCCTGCTCCTGGAGTTTCCTCGCACACTCTTCCAGTACTACGTCGTTGACCATGCGGAAGTGACGGTCGACAAGTTCACATTTACCAGTGAAACTAAAATTAATTATGACTATCTGCGCGAAAAGACTGACGTGCTGGCCATCCTGCTGGAAGATGCGCTGCTCCTACTGATCAAGGAGGGCGATCGATACGTCATGCGTCCATTTAAGCCCACAAAGGAGCAGGGCATGGGAGCCGATACCCCCGCACCACCCAGTGCTGGGCCCAATTCCAGTGGCGCTAGCGGGGCCGCCCATCCCCTAAACAGCAGCCTAGCAGCCAGCAACGCTAACCTGAGTGACCGTCCTTCCGGTAATACGTTGGGGAACACGATGAAGCTGCTGCCAGTATTTCCTCTCGACTCGGTGTTTACGTCTCGGGGTGAAAACATTGGTATGCATTGGCATTTACATCACTTCCAATTTTGTGTGATGCTTGAAGCATTTGTGCTGTTGGCGGCATTGCTGGCAGAAGCGGTAATGCTGTCTTCTTTTGCTGCTAAC